TTAATGTGCGCACTCTGATGCGTATAGGCACACGTCCCATGGTCTTTATCAACAGACCACCCACTGTCTGAGGCGGAAGTCCGTAAGGAGATCCTAGCCTTGAGACGTTACAAAGCGCCGGGCTCCGATGGTCTTTCCCCAGCTCTATTTAAAGATGGCGGAATTAAGCTTGTTAGAGAACTACAATTTCTGTTCTCTAAAGTTTGGAACGCCGAGAAGGTCCCCTCCTCGTGGGGGAATCAATTATTGTCCCCACCTTCAAAAAGGGTCCGCGCAATGACTGCGCCAATCACAGGAGTATAGGCCTAATCCCGATAGCGTCAGAGCTGTTGATGCCCATTACTCATCGTAGATTGTACACTAAGCGTGATGAGCAGGCTGGGTTTTGCGCTGGTCGTGAATGCACCGATCAAATCTTCACCCTCCGACAGCTGCTAGAGCACTGTTATGCCCACCAAAGACCAACGGTCATTGTATTCTTAGATATTCGCGCGGCCTTCGGCTCTGTCGATAGGACCGCACTATGGAACTGTTTGTTGAGGAATGGAGTACCTGAGAAGTACGTGTTGATCTTCAAAAATTTGTATCGTCATAACTCAGTGCGGGTTAGGACATATGGCCAGCTTTCGCCACCCTTCGCCGTCTCCAGTGGAGTTCGACAAGGCTGCCCTATATCCTCATTCTTTTTTAACCTTGTCATACAAAATGTTCTACAGAATGCTTTGTCTGGTCCAGCAAACGGTGCAGTCGAACTCCTCCCAGGGAACAGAGTTCTCGACTTGGAATATGCCGATGACATCGCCTTGCTGGGTGATAAAACACAGGCAGTCCAAGAGACTTTAAACTTATTTCGCCTGCTCGCTTAGCTTGGCAATTTGTTTGCAAACGTTTCATCACCAGCTGAGGTGACATCATCAGTGCACTGATGATGTGCCTGCACTCACCCTCTGTGGTGATCACCTAGAAGTGGTTGAAAACTTTAAGTATCTCGGGAGCTTGATCGAAGCTGGTGGTGGTGTTGGGGACAAGATCACATCACGAATAGCGAAAGCTAGAGTAGCTTTCGCCAACCTACGACACATGTGGCGCCGCCATGACATTCGACTGTCCCTTAAGGGAAGGGTGTACATTGTCGCAGTTTGTAGTGTTCTGAATTACGGTTGCGAGACATAGCCTCTTCGAGCGGAGGATGCTAATCGACTTTCTGTATTTGACCACCGATGTCTGCGAAGCATTGCTCGTGTCTGGCGGAAACATTGGGTGAGCAATGACGAGGTCCGTCGTCGTGTGTTGGGTGCGGATAGTCGTTCTCTAACAGAAGTAATCGCTCTACACGCCTCCCATGGCTCTCTTTTTTATTACACACTTTTCGTGTGATGAACAGCAGACGGGCAAAGCCCCATAGTCACGAGGACCTGCTGTTCAGTGATGGAAACCGGTAGCCTAAGCCCCGGGAGTGGTGAAGCACATAAGGCCTCGATAGACTAGGTGTGGTACTGGCCGGACGACAGCAAGAATGCCTACCACCAAAGTTGGGTGGCGGTGGCGGGGCTCTAACGTATTGCGTAGGCCTGTCCATCGACTACCTTTCTGTGCTCTCTTCGTACGTACCGGGCAAGGCATGAAGAAAAGACGCGGCGGTCAGACCATGATATGGACTAGAGGCATGAAGAAGCTGGCTTCAGCTTTGGCTTCGGTTGGTGCAACCCGCCTTCCAGGTTTGGGCCCAAGGGATGAGGACTGTCGTTGGTTAGAGACGCTGAGAGATATGGCCCGAAATTCCGTGCCCCGCAAGAACCGCAAACAACAAAAGAAATTCAAAAAGTGTTCGGTGAAACACACAAAAAACCCGTTATTCCAATTATTCGTAATCTCCTATTTTGACACCTACATCTTTTCCCTATACTCTGTAGTCCACCCCATCCCCTCGTTATGGTTATTGTTATTATTGTTATGGCGTTGGCACCAAGCTTGTTCTCAAGCCGGTGTTAAATATATATGCCGTAATGGCCAAGTCTCTGTACCGTAAAGCAGCACTGACAAAACAGCTGCAGCATATACTCGATCTTCCACAGACAGTTGGATGTCGCGTCGGCGCCACAGACGTCTCAAGTTGGCAAATGTCAATCGAGCCTTCTGAATGCGCGCCGACACTTCATCCGTGATGTGTCCACTGGGTGAGATGTAGCTGCCCAGATAACAAAACCTGTCTACTTCCGATACTACTTCCCCAGTCCAAGTGAGACTGGGTGCTGGACTAACCTAATCGTGTAGCAACATTTTACATTTTGAAGGTGCAAATTGCATACCGAACATGGCTACACTGGCACTCTATCTATCCAGAAAAGCTTGCAACTGACCTGGATCTTTAATTAGCAGCACAGCGTCGTCTGCACACTCTAGATCAGACAGTCTGCCACTAAAGTAACTCGATCCCGCTATTGGATTACTTCATGGGGATTTCGACGGACAACCGGTACAGCTTTCGTGTTTTTGACTGATGTTCTCTGAGTTACTTAAACCAACTCCATTCCTTGGATCCCCACAAGGAAGCTCCAATCTAAGCCAATAGGCGAGCACCATAGCTTAGGACAATCGGTGTCTCAAATGATCTATTAGGCTGATATCGAGGTCCCGAACCAGGAGGGCTAAAATAAATTACACGATCAAGCCCTTGGAGCGCATGTGAGTAGGTGAACAGACGAAAGAATAGATCGCCCGATAAAAAAAGTGCATTAACTCACCCATTTTGAGACCCTGAGGTTCATTTGGATTTAGGGATGGATCGATGGACAGAGGATCAGCGTCCGCTCCCATGACTGGTCCCATGGACGATGGCCATGCATTAGGCGGGGATAATAGATTGAAAGCACTGGTTGGGGTGGTTGTGGCACTGTTCGATGTTGTTACGGTCAGATTGTTCGTGCCGAGTGGGGAAGGGATCACACCGGAAGTCATATTGGGCCCGGTCGACGTTACCGTGATCTGCTTGAGCATGCCCACCTGGCTGCGTACGTGTTTCAACTGGGCATGCTGAGCATCTATTTGTTGTGCTACTTGGAAGGCTTGCAACTGTAACTCTTGTAGAACGGAGTTTGTGGCAAATGGCATATTGGTCGAGCGGATTTGAGTGAGTTTTTGGTTCAGCTCCTACAAACGGGATGATCGAAAATTGTCGCCAAAACCAGGGAAACGAAAATATGTGAAAGAATTTGTGTTTATAAACATTGCCACACACATATATCATTGAATTCAAGTGTGCATTGATGATAGCGGTGGCAATGAACTGAGAATAATTTGGTGTTATCACTTCTTTTTCATCTCGCCTAAAATTGAACCATTTCAGCCATTGAAATTAAGCCCCAAAAGGATAAAAAAAATAATTCTTTTTTTTTTCTTGCTCTATAAACAATTCGATTCGACGAAACAGACTGTTATTGGAAAACATACAAAAACTGACCATTTTGTTAATATCAAAATATGAAGGACAATGTGGTTACAAATGAATCTTTGCGAAGCGATGCAAGCTGAGGGAGAGGAGGGAAGAATGAAATCATATCGTACCAAATATGGTCACGCGTCTGTTTACCCTTACCTGATGCTTGGAATGTAGTTGCATAATGGTTTGCAGGATTTGGGTCTCGCGCTGTTGAAGAACGTGTAACGAAAGTTCCAAATTGTCGACCGGAGTCCCGGGGCTCATACCACTAAGACCGGACTTTGAAATCTGACACAGATAAGACAAAGTGAACAAAAGTTACCCGAACATGCATAAGCCTCGTTTAACTACAATTCGTATTCAACCTACAAGCCAATCATGGAACTTTTTTTTCTTTTTTATAAAGATCGTTGTATCATAATTAGCCTGGCACACAGTCTGCCCTCAGACGAGTGTAAAATATAATATATAACTATAATTCGGCCGTTACCCAATAAAAGAGCAATATACTAAAACGAAGAGGCAAATAGTGTAACAACGAAATAACCACTTTTGTTTTTGGTAATAATTTTCACCTCAGTTCCACTCACTAACTGATGTACCGGTCCGTTCAAGATTCAACCCCTACACTCAACTCCGGTGTTAGACAGAATACAAAAAAAAATGGGTCGCCGATGTTTGTCAACGCAATTAGTCACACGAGGTT